TACCTGAGTTGAAGAGAAAGAACTTACTGGATGTAGATTTGGCGAGAGGGGGCTCTGTGTTGGCTGACCTCTAGGAGAGGGTAGGGATGCAGGGACATGAGCCATGCGTTTGGTGTACTTGTGAGCTGCTGTCTCGTTCCTTTAAGTTTCTTTCAATTAAAAGGTTTTGAACAGAAACATTTGGACTGATGTTTTGCCAGCAGTGGGAAATGGTTGTGGAGGTGGATCCTGAAACTTAGAACTATGGTTGTTATCTGTCAACCTGTGAGTAAATAGGGTAGAGGTTTATACTGGGGCAGGCTCTGTCCGTGTGGTTGAGTGTGTCTGTAGCTCTCGGTCTGGGTTTCTCGCTCTCTTTTTCTCTTTGTGCCTCATGCAGGCCCTGCCATGAATTTTCTCTGACCCCTTGGGGCCATTCCGACACGAAGCTTTGATGTGTGTGCCCAGAGCTTGATTGACAAGGAAGTTTCGGTGGCGGCAGCAGGGAAACGAAGAGAAAAGGGCAGGGCTTTGAACTAAAGGGCTTTGAGCTCTGAGATGCTGTGCTTACTTATCTCCTTCAGAATGTTAATTATTTACCAAGATAATTGGTCAGGAGGGGAAAAAAAGAGAGGGGAGGTTATTAAAAAATTCCAACACTAACACGCTACAAAAACCTCATTTTCCAACTTGCAGCTGGCATGAAAAGGATGTTGTGTGTAAAAGGGCTTGAGTGTATGTGTGTTGGGGGGGCCCTTTTTAAGGCACCCGTTTCCTATATAGAGGGATCCCTTCAGACGAATGCAGCGGAAACATCAAAGCTCTTGCAAGAGTTTTCTTTGGGGTTTCTAAAGCGTGTCTGGTGCTTTTTAATTAAAAAGCTTACGGAGAGACGTTTTTGTGACTGGAGCAGGCAACCTTAGGCCCTGTTGATTGAGGAATGAAATGTTAAAAGACCTAATAAATAGTGATTTCTGCTAAAATGTCAGTTCAAGGATGTGAAGATGCCTGGCCGCTTTAGCAGGAGCTGAGACTTGGAGTAGACTGATGAATGTCTCCTGCTTCAGCCTAACATGGTGTAGGCCATACTGTATGTGAAAGTCTCCTATCACCTTTGGAGTAAGGTAAAAAAGTCCGTAATACCACGTACTCATTTGAAGCTTGCAGTCAGGAAGATGGGTGAAGCTGTTTCATTTTGCCTCCAGTTAATACAGTTTTATTAGTCTCTGTATTAGGCAGCAATCCACAGACTCCCACGTGAAGATCAGGGTTCCTTTGAGCTCTGGTAATTGCTGTGCTGGATCAGGTCCAAGGGCTGTCATTCCAGTATCCTGACTGTGCTGATGGTGGCAACAGAGGTTCAAGAAAGCTCGAGAGCAGGCAGCCTGCCCTGCGCAATTCCGAAGTATGCATTAATGATACGAAGAGGGGCAGTTGCTTGCTTTTATCTGTCTGTTTATTTATTTATTGGGTCAAGGTGAGAAATTTGGTGTTACTGTTCTGCTGGTGTAAATGCAGACCATTCATCAACATTTTCTGTACGGTTTCTGGCTATGACAGTACTTACCTCTTTCACACTATGATGATTTGGTTTCTCTACCTTTCTCTTAGTATAAGGCCTGAAAGCTTAAAATAATTGTTTCAGCTAGTTTTTCTTTATGTAGTATTATACTGATCTGTTAATTCTGGTTTTAAGTATGATATTTCTCATTCAGAATCCTTACTGGTACAGCCGGTTGCACCATATCGTATTAATCTTCTGCATATCACCTTCAGACCCCCTTAAAAACACAAGCCTGTACTTGCAGCAGTGTCTGGTTTTGGTGCAAAGCTTGCATCTCTTGCCCTGCAGTCCCTTGAGAACGTTTGGATGTGTACTCTGGACGTGGTGATGCAGTGCTTTTTAACATACCACTCCCAGCACCAGTTTTTCTACTGCTTGGGTTTCTTTGAGGGTGTGGCATCACGCGGTAATCACTGTAAGTGGCAGAGCAAATGTCATAGGTAGGTACCCTCCTCACTTACCCACAGACGCTTTTCTGATTCCTCAGCTGAACCAGGGCGACTCTGAGTCCAGTTCTGCAGTTTCTCTGGTGCCCAGCAAAGGACCAAACGGTAATCAAGGCATTGATGCATCTGGCATAGGGGGAGAGAGAGGTGGGGTTGTTAAGCCTAGAAAAGAGGAGGCTCTGAGGGGGTCCTGTCAATGTGTATAATAAATGCGATGGGAAACAGTGAGGAAGATGGGCCAGACTTCTCTCAGTGGTGCCGAATAAAAGGACAAGAGGAAATGGGCACGAATTACAGGAACTTCGATTGAAATGAAAGGGAAAAAAACCAAAACAAAACCAAATACCAAACCCACTGAATGGGTGGTCTAACACGGAACAGCTGCCTGAGCAGGTTGTGGAGTCTCCATCCTTGTTTGATACTCATAACCCAACTGGACATCGTGGAGGATTTGGGCTGGACAATCCTCACATGCGCTTCCAACCTCAACCGTTCAGTGACTGGTGGCAATGACGTTGCAGGATATTGCTTCCCCTGTAGCTGCTCAGTCTTACCCACACCGTAGTTTCTTACAGATGGAGAACAAAGTTACCTTTCTCCAGGTCTCTCTGGTGATGAAACTGATCCCAAAAAGTCATTGAAATTCTCTTCTTTAATTGGATTCCTTAATCTTAATAATTGCTGCCCCAACCAATTATTTTAGGGACTTCCTTTATCTGAATTTACAGTAACTTTTTGTTGTTTTAATCCTTGAATTGTATTTTAGCTCTCTGGATTTCCTTCCCTATACCCATTCTGCTCCTTCATTCCTTGTTATTCACCCCAGAAGTATTAGCTACCAAAGTTGAAAGATCTCTGTCATTTTCTTAATTATGGGTAACTGACAGCATTTGCTAGTTCCGTTTAATGCTTGCTTCCCTGCTCCCTTGCTTTTAGTTAGGGCTGCACAGCATTTCTAAGGCTCCATTTTCCAAGTGTTTACTCAATAGCTAAGGATTCAGTCGCTAAGGATTTTACTTCCATTTCCTCTGACTTCAGGTCTTTAATCAGCATGCTTCATTTTGTTAACTCTCTAAAATACAGTGCTTGCATTAGTTGTTCGTACGTTTTCATTTCTTACAGTGTTGAATTTTATTAGATTGAAATCGCTGTTTCTTATTGGCTTGAATCTGATCCTGTGTATTACCTAGGGCTAGCTGAAAATAATTTCTTTTACGTTTACAGTTATTTGTTCAGTAGGTCATTGTTTGAGCTACTGACTCGTTGCTTCTCAACAGTTTAACGTCATTTAACATGTTCGTGTGTTGGACATAATTTGTATTTTGTACTGCATTTTATTCAGTGTTTACTTACACAGAAGTAGTTGAATAAAGCGATTTAGCCATGACGTAAGAGACGTGAAGTGAAAGGAGAAGATGGTGGGAATGGCCACTGTCAACATAAGCTGTAAGAAACTTCATTGTTTTGATTTGTTGCTATTGAAAATTAGAGAAGCACAAGGTAACTGCAACAAGCCGTATGCTATCTGGTGCGTTACATTTGAGTAACTGGAGGGACATCGGTTGCCATCTTCCTGTGTCATGGGTGTACGCTTTAAATTGGGGGAAACTGAGTATAAAGCAGTGTGGTAAATCTACAGGCAGGTTAAATTAGGACCCAGGCCTGCTGACTAGAATTGTAGCCATTTCCATGCCCCCACCCCCTTTTTCTGTTTTGCATGCACGTCTCTTCTGCGGAGTGGCAGTTAATGGTGGAGTGGCAAAAGCTGACTCTGGATTTAGTGCACTTGTAGGCTGCAGAAGGAAGAGCTTGTTCTCTTAGATTACAAGCTAATGGGAACACTGTTTAATGCGGTTTTTGTGTATGCGTTTGACCAGAAACTGCTTGTTGTGGAGCACTGAAGAGGTGGGCGAAGAGATAAGGTTGAAGGTAACGTGGCGCACACCTTTCTGGGGCCATCCCCAGAGAGACCGGCGGTGCCTCCCGCCGTCCTGCTGGTGCGGTCAGCCAGGACGCTGTGGCACTGCCCTTTTATCATAGGCCTTTCTGTATGGGGGCAGCACTGACGAGATCGCAGGCTCAATAAATTCGCATACTTGAACTTAACTTTCTCTTGATTCGGTGCTTCATGACCTATATGTGTGTGTGGGGGTGGTTAAGGTGTGCCACGCAGTGCAATTAAAGCACACACTAAATGAATTCTGATTTGGCTGACTGACATCTCAAATAATAGGCAGAGAGGAATTGTTGGAAAACATAGATCACTTAGGCTGGTGTCTTGCTGGCATTAGTTCTGGCTGCGCGGTTCATTGTTGTTATCTGGTTTGGACGCAAATATCTAAATACAAAATAATCATTAACAACATTTGCAGATGAAATTAAGATCGTCAGACTGATAAAGGCAGTCCTACAGTTATCTAGGTCACATAACGAGCTAAATGGATGAAAAAAATGTTTGTGGCAGTTATTCTGACAAGAACTAGGAATTCAGGCTGGATTTATAAAGGGTAGACTGCATCCTGGAAAGCTGTTGAAACTAGACAAATTCCAACTAGAGACAGGATATAAATATAATAGAACAACCTAGAATAGATTTCTGAGGGCATAGCTGGATTTCCCTTCTCTTACTATCAGCCACTCGGGTCTCGGAAGATTCTTAATCATGCTCATGTCATCTGCTCAGCAGTGGAGAATGTGGGTGAAATATCATGGCCTGAGATCCAGGGACAGAGGAAAATCCAATGGCAGGTCACTGTGAGCAGTCAGCGCTTGCTGTACGGGTCTGGTCAGCTGTGTGTGGTGGAACAGATCATAGAATTCCGATTCATGGCTTACTCCTGAGTGCCCTGTGCTCTGCACAAGTTCAGCCTTCTCTGAATTATAGATGGTTCAGTGACCTCAGCTTAAACTCTGTGGATTTGTCTGTAGCTGTCTAACCTGTATCCAGTGTTCACAGTGAACTGTGAAAGTATCTACAAGCCGTGATCTCTTCTTTTCCCCTTTTGCTGCAGGCTAAACTCTTTCCAACTGCCGTCATTCATTTTGGATCTGAGCAGTGCAGGGGTGAGTGCATTTCCTCTCCTCTTCAGCTGACTGTATAGCTCCTATAGCAGACCCTGAAGAATTACGTCTTTACATTCAGAGTTGTTCTGACAAAGGACAATGTATTCCTCGAGAGTGCTGGCAAACGTTCCCATTCCAAATGGCTGGAGCTCTCCAGAGCCAGCTTGGCCAGTTAGCTGGAGCACAAAAGTAAACGTACAACCTTCCTTACGAGATCCATTAGGCTCTGGAGTAGGCAGTGTCTGCCACGGGGACAAGAGTGATAGAAGAACAACCCTGTAGCAGGAAATGGCATTGTTCAAAATGTTAACAAGACAAATGACTATGAAGTGCTTTTATAGTCCTCCTGTACCTCCTGTACTGGGCTGGCTGGAGATGGGAGAACAGACCTGAGTCTTCGATTCTTTGACATCTCTGGTTTGTGCTTAGAACCTCTGTTTCTCCCAGAGATCAAAGCATCCTCTGGCTTCACAGAAAAGTTCCTGAGATGCAGTGAGCGCTGAAAGAAAATGTCCAGATCTTGACTTTTGAATGATGAAATAGGGCACCTTGAGTTGTGAAGCAAATGGTCATGGTGTAAACGTGTCCTGTGTCAGTTGGGGGAAGGTGATGGAGATGGACTATGGCATACAGCAGGTATTTGCTGAGCCAAGCACTACAAGATCCTGTGGTGATTGATGTCTCCGTGTTACCAAACAACTGTTTGGGTTTCATTTTTAAACAGATTGTTACCTGAAATCGGACCTGCTGAGCTCTGTGGTTTCCCCTTCTGCAGCTGATTTATTAGTGACCAGGTATGTTGGGACTGAATGGAGTTGCGAATGGGTATTCCAGGGATGGGAAGCATGAAACGAGCCCATCTTACTACAGAAATGTGCTCTGAAGATACTAGGACTTCATTTTCTCCTGAAACAGTCATACTGTCATACTTGACTTCATAGTTTTGTGAGGCCTTCTTTGCAAAGTCGGATTTCAGTGATTAAATCAAGCAAATCCTAGGGCTTTTATCATGAAAGAGAAGAGCCTTTTCAATCTGACTTTAGAAGTTTAAAGGTGGTTGTGGTACAAGGGGTTGTTATGAAAAAATGAAGCTTAATTCTGCTTGTTTATTTTCTTCCCCAGATGTTTGTCCAAATCATTAGTTCCTTCTGCTTCATCATCTTTAGAATCAACAGTTCCACCCCGGGCTGAACCAGAAGTGGGAAGTGACAAAAAGACCGAGGAGCAGCCAGGACCAGCAAGCGTGCAAGAAGCTCCGCAGGTGTTGAGAAGGGCCCCTGGGAAAATACCCAAATGGCTGAAGCTGCCAGGTATCGTGAAATCAGAGGAGAGCTCTTCTCATTCCAAACTCCCCAGAAAGGCGGGCTCCTCTGTGCCAAACGTGTTCGACGTTGACAGCATTCTCGAAGATGTCAGCATAAGGCTTGCAGGACATTTGGATTTGGTTCAATGCTTGTCAATCACAAGTCGGTTTAACCCTCAGCCTTCCCTGGAGAAGTATCTGAATGCAGGCTCTGGGCAGTGTGGAGCCTGGTGTCTAATCCATACGCTTGCAGGACTCTTAGCTATGTTCTGGGCTTAATGTGTTGAGTTCTTAACTATGCTAGTGTAGTTCAAATACTAATAGGCAGGATATTCTACATGCCAAGGGCCCGTGTCGTCTGCTAAACCTCTGTCATTATTTTTCCTTTGCTGGTGTAGGCTGGTTTTAGTACTTTTCTTTCTCTTGATTGTTTTGAGTTGGTCTTTCTGTTTTAGTGGTTTTCAGTAGTTAAGACTGCAACCAGGTTTCCATTATGCATTTTTTCTCGGTTTATCCTGATCAGAAAACGGCAATGTTGTTTTTAGTCTCAGGACCAATAGCTTATGTGTGGTTTTATATGAGAATTTGTATAAAATATGAAGTAACTAGAAGAGAGATTCCTGAACTAAACAATTGGCTATATTAACTTTTTGATGCAGTGGCAAAGAGAAGGCGGTGGGGGTGGGGGGGGAAGACGTTCAATCAATGCCCTTAATGGCAATAAAACTAGGAAGAATTATGGAATTCCCTGGCTAATAATGCCAAATATTAACTCCTGAATGACAATTTTAGTATTTGATTCTGGAAGATACTGTGAGGCTCTTGGCTCCAGCAGGCATAGTGTAAGGTGCGAAGTGGTTGCTGGAAGGCTGCAAACACTGGGTTGGTGTGTTTCCCCGCGGTGGCTGGTCTGGTTTAGGCTGGTACTGGGATACTGATGCAGATCATGTTGGAAACGGTATCTTTACTGTTCCCTGTTTCCAGTATGCTTAAAGCATTCCACTAGAGAGTAGACCTTTCTGAGTAAAGATTATCTGGATGAAGTATGAAATAACATCCCGCCTACCTGTGCAGGGCACCCATTAACGCTCTAACATGCATGTTAGTAACACGCAGGATGAAGTTCCCTTATTATGAAAATTATGAAGTATTCACCATTCCATCTCCCCAAGAAGTGCTCCTACGTGCTCCCTGACTGTTGCCTGGGCACAGCAGCTTACAGAACCCGCAGCAACCAGATCATGTTATTGCGAAGCGATACAGTGCAAATGACATGGGTAAGTGTTCTAATGCTCTTATGTTTATTTTGTAGGTGGGAAGAGATGAAACCTTCTGGACTGCTGGATCAGTGAGCAGGCAGCTGTGCCTCTTTGGTGATGAACTTATTCAGAATGTGTAAGAAATTGCTGGTGGCCATGGAGACATCTAATCTGTATGAACATTAGTTACAAATAGTAAATGGCTATTTCAGATGCCAGTTTCACCTTTTGGAGGAGTGGAAGGCCTGTTTGTGGCCTTTGTGACTACAGGAGCCAGGTTAGAGGTTAAATTCAAGGTTTCTTGCATGCAGATAATATGAATAGAGAATTAAGGGGGAAATAATTCTTATGTACTTTCTGTGAATAACTTTGTTTCTATCCATATTTTCAAATTTAAATCTTCCCAGTTTTACCTTCAGGGATAACTTCAGTCCAGCTGCCTGAATTCTAGCAGCAAGATACAATCCGATTCAGTTTTGCCTATAGTTAAATGCTGCCTAGAACAAGACTTCTCTCTCCTTCTTGCTGGTCAAGGTTAGTGCTGCTGATGATAATTCCGGGCATAGACGGCTGGAAGGCGAGTGAAGAGGAACCACTTGGGTCACTTAAACCAGTTCAAATGGGCTTTTCCTGTGAACCTCTTGGTCTGCTGCACTTGTGTTGTTTTCAGTTGCCAGGATCTTCTTAACAAAGAGCACAGGTATCTGCTAGTGGAACGCATGTGGCGTTTGTTTCTGCCCCAAGCTTTGTGTTTTATTTTCACGACATATAATTAAAATCAGTAATTAGAGTTACAGTGAGGAAAAAACCCATCCAGTAAAAGGATCTCTTCACGTGACCTTCCGTCTCTGGACTTCTGTGGCCCGAATGTTCCCCCAGCAGAGTAGCTGTTCTCTGCGGTGCAGTCAGTGTACAGAGGGAAGTGCTAGTCCACATCTTTGCCTCCTGCAGATGCTGTGCTGGGATAAGTATTGTTGGTTAAATTGTGCTTATACTGGGGATGAACTCTGTAGTGCCACAGTAGCCATGGTGCTGTATCTTGTTTGAAATCTCCATGGGTCGGTGATTCATGCGGGACAGCTGGGGTTCCGTGTTAGGGTAATAACGTGTTTTCCATTTTCCCTCTGTAGACAATTGTCCCCTGAACTACGTGTGCATCTGCACAATTTGTAGATGTAATAAAGCGGAGTGGCCATGGGAGGCCTTTTTGTCGGTCTCTTTGATAACATGCTCCTTCCCCCAGTCCTCGGTTTCTCTGTCAGTTCACAGGAACCTGCTCCCTTTTCAATGGGCCTGTCATGCCTCATTCCCTTCCTCCCATTTTTTTTCCAACAAAGCAAAACAGAGCTTTGTACCATCTGAATGAACTTCAAAGTGGCTAGAAAGGGCACCCAGGGTTCCTGGCACTTGTCATTGTCTCCCAGCCTGGCCAACATTTCCCTTCAGGTCTAATTACTTCCAAATGCTCCCAGATGCTTTGAAGAAACTCCGAGGGAGGGGGAGGCATGAAAGAAAGGTGGAAGTGGAAAAAGGAGACTCAAAGTGGAGGAGCAGAATGCTTTAGCAAAAACATTGATTGATTTCTTCTATGACACCCAAACATAAACAGGGAATGTGTGCGGCCACTGGCAGGGGGGAATGCAGGAGCACTGTGTGCAGCTGCTGCTCTGCATCCTTACTGCGGAAAGCAAGCCCTTGCGCTCGACAGGCTGTAACAGACGCACTACAGCAAAACCAAAAAAATGCAAAATAATCTTTAAAGTTTATTACTTTAGTGGATTTTAAGTGCGGGCTGAGCCTATGCTCCATAGGACTGTCTGTATCTTGGTTCAGGTGCTGTGTCAGGCTTAGTCATGTCACAGAAGTATGAGGTAGACTGTAGCTACAGCTGCTGTGATGAATTCATGGAGGATAGATCGGGGCCAGCTAACAGCCGTAGCCAGTGATAGGTGATGATATACTTGTGCTGGTGGGTTTGATTCACAGGATTAGAATAAACAGAAGCAGGCTGGTTGGTAGGAAATTGTAGTGTGCTTTCAGATGTGTCAGTCCTGGTTTTTGAAGAGCACAGGAAACATTGAATCGGGCTGATTTGCTTGGCTATTTTGATCCCACCAGTTTTGACAAAGAGCTTGCACCGTAACTGTCACCTGCAAGTACCTGATACGGGAAAACAGAAGGGAAAGTGTAGGGACACAAGCAGCAATGTCATTACTACTGGGGCAGTTTCGTGGGTGAGGTACAGGGGTGAGGATGAGGAGACTTCATACTGCCAACTACGTGCGTTACCTCAGCCAGTTCTGCCCATGCTTGTCCATGCTTTAAGGGGGACAAGATGCCCCGATATTTAAAACTGCAGGCTCTTTGCTACAAGGATTTCCTCCCCTGCTGCAGAACAACACATGCAGGTACCTGATGAGCTGGAGTTGTTTCAGCATCAGTTCTGCTACCGTAGCTGAACTCATCCCTGGGGGTTTCGGGCATTCGAAGGTAGTATTGCTTGCATTTTTTTGCTACGGCCTTTTTTTTTACCATGTGGTTGTGGGGCTGAAGGCTGAACTAGGTCAGTCCCTTCACTGGCTTCGTTGTACAGCTGCACAAACAGTTGTCTTGGCAAAGAAGGCTGCAGTGCCGAGGGATGGGGCACTGCTGGAGCTGGTACTGTCATCAGAAATTAAATTGTGGGGTTAGCTGAAGTTTTGAAGTGGCTGGTGTCCTGAGTTGAAGACCTTGACAGCCTCGTGGCTGAAGGACTACAGCGACCTACCGAGCCTTCGCCTGCTACAGCTGTCAAGGGGAAGAAAATTGCTGGGTATTGCTAATGATAAAGACTACGGCTAGCCAACAACAGAGTGTGCAGCCCTCGGGACACGCTGGTGTCAGCTGCTTCTCGTGCGGCCGGCTGCGTATTTCCCAACAAAGCCAGTTCAGTTGTGTGGGCCCTGCCTACATGTGTAAGGTTTCTTATTTCACAGCTTCCCCCCCGGCCCCCCTGCTGGCTGCGGGGCCAGGCTGTCCCATGATGTGGGATTCTCACACATGCTGTTTGTTATTCTGTCCTTTTTCCTTTCGTTCTACAAAGATTTAGAGAAGAGGGTGGGTGAGGGGGAAACTTTGCAAGTCTTTGAAGCAACTTGACTTTTGGTGATTAATTGCAGCAAAGAGCCTACAGAAGGGAGGGTGACTCGGTTTTAATTTATTGATGTTTCTTTGTGAGAACAAATTTATAGCAGAGGGGAAGCAGCTTCTGAGGAGAATATCAAATGGTTAAAAGGTTCTGAGCATTCTTTGATGTCACAGCCCTGGAGAAATAGTGGAAGCTAGCGAGGGACAGACACTGTTTATTTATAAAATAAAGATCAGTTACCTGCTTTTGGCAAGAGCCTGCAACTGAGCTCCTGTTAACAACCTATTCATTAGGCAGGCTTGGAACGGGACCTGAAGTTCCTGCCACAGCTGCCCGCTGAGGTGACGAGAGCCTGAGGTTTGGAGGACGCTCCAGCCATTAAAGTCTTTCCACGCATCTCTGAAGCAGCACCTGATTCTGACATGAGCTGAGGAAGCAACAGCGTCCAACCGTGCTGTGAAGCACGGGCTGCTGTTGCAGGCACGAGGCAGCAAGCGTTACGCACTCAGCCGGCCAAAACAGGCGTGCAGGCAGCCTCTTTTCAAAACCAGCATCTGATGGCACAGTTGCCCAGGGCTTTGCCATGCTTGGTAAAGGAGAGGGAAAGCAGAAGCAAAATGGCAGAGAAAGAAGAAGCGGAGGCTGTTCTTCCTAGAGTTAGACTGAGGATGAGCTGGATCTTCACGGTCAGGTCAGGATCTTCGGCTGGCAGGCCACGTGCGCCTCTGAGGCCTCTAGAAATCTAGGAGCTGTAAGGAGAGAGCAGCAAGGCAGTCAGCACCTCTGGGTCCCCGAGCGTCTCCCAGAAGGAAGAGGATTAAGCGGCTTCGGCCCACATCCTTATCCTGCTCGAGCGCAGTTCAGCTTCTGCAGTTACATACCAGCTGCGGCAGCACTTTCTCCAGGTGCTCGATGTCCACTTTCTCCAGGTCCTCTGCCTGAGCCTGCCGCACTGCTCGGGCCGCTGCTTCTGCAGGGCGAGCGTGAGGAAGGAGGCGTCAGAGCGGCCTGGAGGTGTTACCTGTGCGGTGCTGAGGAGCGCTCCGGGGCTGGCGTTCCAGGGGGAGGGCGCGGTGGCCCAGCTCCCCGGAGGAGGCGGTTCCCTGGCCCC